TTAGATTTTAAATTAATGCAAAATTTCACAATTTTGTATACCTACTTGGTACGCCTTTTTTTTTTTTTTTTTGCTGATATTTTTAGTTAGAGCTGGTCTCAAATTATTAATTATATTTTTAAGGCAATTTTTCAAACCGAGAGAACTGATATAATAGAATTAAAAATAATATGATAAATAAAATATTAATTGTAGAAACGCTTAGCATAAAATTGTCGCTCACATTTTCATTGTGTTGCATCAAAAAGTTTGAAAATTCTTTTAATTTCTTTATATGATTTTTTATATGAAACCTTACAATCTTGAATATAAATCCAAATCATTTAAATGCGAAAATCCTTAGGGAGGTTAGCGATAAAATAATAGAAAACATAACATCGACAATTATAAGATCGCCGCACGTGAGAAGTGTTATCAATTTGAAAATACACATCAAATGCGTAGCCTTCATGAAAAATGTTCAACTGGAGATAAGAGCGAAAAAAATCGAAACGTGTATTGCTTTATTAAAATATGCCACCCATGTACATTTAATTAAACCGTTTCAATATGTTAATAACAATCAGTATTTCGGTTTATCGATCAAAACTGTTTTTACTTTCATTAATTTGATGATACTGCGAAATGTGTTTGCTTTTATATAAGAACATGTTTTGCTTTGTTAGTGACGCTCATATCTGCATCTAAATATTTTTCCTACTTTCAGATAGCAATATCTGCCTATCGCCTATGCTTAGATTTATACACAGACCAAGAAGAACATTCTCAGTTAAGAATATATACATATATATATATATACAAAAACTTTTTTTTTACACGGTAGATACCGTGCAAAAAACAAATTGTGTAAAAAAATGCATACAACGTATGATAAATTTGCGAATAAGGTCCGATAGTTTAAAAAATCGTGTATGATGGGAAAACTCGAAATATTTTCCCAAAAAGCTATGCAAAAAAAATAATAATGAAATCCATATTAAATGTTTGTAAATCAAGAAACATTTATTTTTATTATAAAAAAACAAAAAAATTTTAATTAGTATGCAATTTAAATTCACTCCATAAGTACAACATAAAAATTGAAATTGAAATTAGGAATTTGGAACCAATTTCGAAACTATGCATCGCTACTAATGACGAGCATGCACATTTCTTAGGAAGTGCACTAAAAATGCTATCATCAGTAGATATGATTCAAATCAAGAATTTCGCTCGTTATTAACGGTTTAGCAGTAGTAGACGAAGTCGCTAACCTATGCGTGGCACTAAACCAACCGACTACTGATTGTATTTTGTTGCCGCATGCATAAGTTTCTGTAAGGCAATTATAAAATTTGAAAAAAATGTCGTTAGGATTCGGCGCTAGACTGAACAACTCGTGTAAAAAAGCGCGTTCGTTCTTATCAGTGAACCGTGTTATTTTAAAATCGGATAAAAAAGACCGCGTAAAAAAAGAATTGCTATATATATATATAGCAAATTGAAATCGTCTACCTCAATGGTGGTCAACAGGCGGATATGATTAAATCTTCTCATATTTTTGCGGTAGCACAATAATAATGAAAAAAATAAGTCTAACAATCATAACAACAATAATAATAATAATAATAATGTTTGGAATAGTATAACTAGCTTTAAATATATTTAGTGTGTTATAATTTCGGTTAAAAGTAATTCAATTTTTTTTTTAGTATTTTAATTTCATATAATTTGTTTCATAGATTTTTAAGTAAAAAAATCAAATTTTTGTTGCTAAGCATGTATTTCGCTTAAACAAAACCCATTATCATAGCTCCCACTAAGTACATAATTCTAAATTATTTCTTGCACAAAATTATCTTATTGCTTCAGTGCCTTAATGCAAAATAATTCATATTATTATGCTGCATTAAATACAAATTTTCACATTAGAGAAAAAAGAAAAAAAAAAAAAATTAAAAAATAAAAATGAAAAACAACGTAAAAATAAAATATTTTAGCGTCTAAGCGTAAATTTATATTAAATAATTATATTTTAAGTCTTTATTCGAGAAAAAACAAAAGAAAAAAATAATACACGTATAGCATAAGACCAGTAATATAGTCAGAGGGGTAAGAAAGCAACGTTCGCGCTTAAACGCGAATCCGTTATATCCATCATCGGCAAGTATTTTTAATTTCATTCCCTTTTGAATTGCTTCTCTTTTCTTCTCTTTATCTTGTCTTTTTTGTTCCTATCACAAATCATCTTCAATTGTAAAGGCGTGCTTTATGCATAAGATGTAAATACATATTCATATAGAATATAAATAACTGTCAGAAATCTATTTATTCTGTTTTTCGTTAATTTAATTTCGTGATCAGCATCTCACACCCAAAATAAAGCATGAATCGAGCTACGAAGCGACAATGGTGATAACCAACTTTGCGAATTATTATAAATTCCGAGTTTATTTTAAGCATTTATCTTTTTTGGCTCAATCTTTTTGTTTTTGCATGCATGCAAGGACAGAGACGACGAATTTGCATTTATTTTTCAATTAATATTAGAAAAATGAAGTAAGAAATTTGGGGAATATATTTATTTTGAATAAAATTTAAGGGTAAATGTGGATTACCGCAAGACAACAGAAGAAAAACGCGCGGCCATCGATCATTAATCCGTTTTGCAAATTATTTAACATTCAGAGTTTACTCAATTTTGTGTAAAAATTTACACGTACATGAAACTAAGCATTTTATCATGCCCCCTCATAGCTTCATCCTTTAGAGAATGCATAAAATCTATATTTTCTTGATTGGCTTGAGATTGTTACTCTGTTTTAACTTTACCGGAAGTTGTTCGCTGGTTAAACGAATATATATAAAGTAAGAAGCATGAAAGAAAACACAGGTATTCTATTTTGTTTATATATATATATATATATATATATATATATATATAGAATAAAAAAGATTCAATTACAACGATAACTACGAATAGATGAAATAATTTAAATTAACGAGTAATACGTCTTTAGATTATAAACAAATACACCTTAGAGACTTACTTCGAACAAGAAAAATTCTACCCTGAAATTTCGATTCTTTTAACACAACAAATTAGCACACATTAGCTTCGCAAGACCGACGATTAATTATAGACTTAGCCCCTTATTTTTATTGTAAATTACTGAAAATCGCCCATCTTATCGCGATATGACATAAAAATCCTTAATATTCATAGTGACTTTTATATAATAGAGAATTAAAGAAATAAACCGAAATTTAATGAAATAAATTTATATGACAGATCAACATTTCCTAGAGCAAATTTCATTGCAAAATACGAAAAGTGGAGATTTGTTGCATTTATATGAAAGGGACTTAAGAAACTGCATTCCTTTTTTTTATTTTTATTGATTTTTCTGTCGAAAAAATAATCCGATCTAACTCATTTTTAAGAAAATTCGTCCTTGAGCCAAAAGATGTGAGACTTCTTTAAAATATGCCGGAAATTGTAGATTATATAGGTATACATGAGAAGGAAAGGCGGATAGATAAACTTAAATGTATTCACAAATTGTCTCTCAATCGATTGGTACGTGAGTCTATGTCAATTTTTATAAATATTACATACTCTCTTCTCACTCGTCCGAACTTAATACACCCTTATATCACAGGTGATATAAAGTAGGAATGAGAAACTCTGCTGATCGATGCACTGCCGACACGTTCGTATCTTTCGCGTTCGATCGAAATTAATATTTCTAAATATTTTCAAATTTATTTTACTTGGGGATAATTGTAATTCACCATGGTTGTGGATATGGATGCTGATGCATATTTAGTCCCATTTTAAGTTATATCTTTAGAAATCTATTGAGGGAACTTATAAAAATGTACATCAGACTACAATAGTCTTTCCTCTCCTTCGTTTCTCTTTCTCGCCCGCCCTCCCCCCTCCCCACTTCCACCACCGAGGACTCTTTTCCAATTGAGTATAGTGTTTATAGCTTCGCGGCTCCGACGGACTGAAAGTGTATATTAATCTCAATACTAATAATTTTCAATTTGCAAGTTTGAAAATAACTCCGATGATGGGTATAACGATAAAAAACAAAAAAAATAAACATAAAACATGTAGACAAGTATAAGCGAAAATTATAATATTATAGTTTAATTAATGCATACATACGCTAACTTCAGATATGTATACAAAATGCAGATAAAAAAAAACTACAAGCTCTGGAAAAAACGTTTAATATGAATTAAAATATATACTTACGTATGTATAGATACGTACATATATACACACATATAAATATATGAAATTACATAAATAATGATGAACATTTTCGAGACGTTTTATTTCATCGTATAAAGTCTTGCGAAAAGACTAACAAAGATAGATATAGCGGCGGCTGGGCCCCCTTCATTTCCTTACAAACTCCTCTAGTCGAAAACATTATCTTGGTTTTAATATTATGCAGATTAATATGGTTTCATAAAGTTATGGCCTGTTAAAAACACATACCGGCATTTGCTTCTACTGCAGAAATATATGCGAATTTGTAAACGAATCCACCGATGAAAACAACAAGAAAAAAAAAAAAAAATGAAAAGAAAAAGAAAAGAAAAGAAAAAATATCTAAATAAACAAATAAATTGAGCAAAAAAAAATTTAATAAAATTTTGAAATTTTTAATACCGAAAATTCCATGCATATGTCATTGTTTCGAGAAATGTGTATAAAAGATGAAGAAGAAGACAGGTTCATACGAATCGAATTGAAAAGAACTGAACTATTTGAAAAAAACAAGCCATTCCAAAGTCGTCAAATGTCTTCAAAAATTTATCAAAAACGAGAAAAATTTTCCAATTATTTTTTTTTTATTATTCATAAAGATTAACCAAAATATTCATTGATAAAAAAATTGCAAATATTTAATAAAAGTATTAAATATTTATTTTTGTACGTGTTTTATTTAAAAAACAAAAAAATAGAAAACTAAAATTTTTTATTGTAATCTTAAAAAATCATGGAATCGGCTCAACAATGTGGTTGTAACGATTGTCTCAGGACAGTACCGCCGCCTGACATACCAAGGCCGTTATGTCAATGCTGTTGTCCGCCACCACCACCACAACGGACAATCTTATGCGGAGGGTAATGCATTTGAGGATAGATTTTTTTTTCTTTCATTTTTAATCTATGTTTAAAATTCAACTCAAATCGTAATCGTTTTATATATATGCATATAATTTTGTAGACAAAAATTAGAGCCATTGAATAAACCAGAACCGGAGTGTAGTCCAAAACTCTGTTCAATATTTGGTAAACATGACACAGATCCATATCCAGAAAAACCATGTATAACAAAACGTAAGTATAAGTTGATAGAGTAAATGAATTAAAAAGGAAAGACTTTGAAAGACTTTTTTATCGATTGGTTGAACGGAGATGTTTTAATTTATGGTTTGTGGCCTTTCTTACAGCTAAAAAAGAAAAGAATGAAAATTATAATTCTCTTGGCTCACCCATTGGTCTCGTCAGTTCCAATGTTAATTTCAAAAATGACGGTAAGGGACCTGACATTGCTGAGGTTCGTTATGCCACGTATTTGAAAGCGTTTGCTCGCTTACATGTAAATCCGGAAACTGTCTGGAATTCATTAGTTATCGATGAGGTGATGAAAGACGGTCTTCTCTTATGTTCTGCATCTGAAAGAGAAGAAAATCTACCTATATCTTCCCCCGATATATATGCCTCACATGAACGGGGTATATTACGGGAATTTGAACTGGTCGGATGTAACTTTCAAGTTGAATTGATGGGCAAATTTCGTTTGGTGAAAACATCCACCGATACGCCAGGTGAAGCAGGTGATGGTAATAATCCAGATTTGCCACTTGTAGAAAATATTAAATCTGCTCTGAAGGCTTTCTTTCGCAAGCATAAATATTGTTTGCTATCAGTTGGACAATTTTACGTGATGATCTGGCATACGAGAGGAGCATTCTTCATATTCGATGTGGGCGGTCGTAGACTCTCTGATTTCAATTCGGATAAGGAGAAGGGAGTAGCGATGTTAATATGCTTAAAAACCTTAGATAACGTCAGGCACTTAATTTTAAATTTAAGCGACTTATCTAAGGATGATCCATGCACTATGCGTGAAATGAAAATCGTAAAATTAGTCACGCCCTCTGGTAATATAATACAAAGGGAATATGGCCCTCGACAACATGAATATGAAATTGCTAGTGATGATTATGCCTATCTGAAGGGAAAGTTACATTTATCCTTAAATCGCGGCGAATTACTACGCAATCGTAGTGCTTTGCCAGCGGGTGTAACTGCTATGTTAGTATCGAAAATTGACCATCCAGCTACATGGAATAGAAAAATGGTCGATAAAATTATATGCTTTGGTGTTAACTTTTGTCAAGCTTGTTGGATTAAATGTACCAGCACAGATCCTATAGATGTTGATGAATTTCCATCTTATTTCAACATTGGGCAGTTTCGAGCACATATAGAATTAATCCCCCGAAAATACGAAGGTATATGGCGTTGTGTACCTGGTTACAAATTTACGGATTTGGCTCAAACTCTCGAAAGGGCTTTCCAAATGGGTGACACGAAATTGCTGTTCCAAATTAATTTCCAAATGTATGCCATTTGGAAACAGAATGATTTCATATATCTGTTCGATCCATTCCGTCATCGAATAGTGGGCATGCCTAACCAGCCAAGCAAAGTAGAAGACATGGAAAAGCATGCAACTGTAAGAATGTTTCGGTCTTTCGATGTATTTATGACGGTCTTCAATGCGATATTATTAGATTCGAATAGATCCAGCCCATTCTATTTACATGTTCTGAAGATCCGCAACATACAATTAAAAGAGAAAAAAGACGGTACACCTGCACCAGAAGAAGAACCCCAACTAGGTCCTGATGGAGAAGTGAAGTCCTTAAATGAAGTTATTTGCTTTGAAGAATCCGAGGATATGTGTCAAAAGATGTTGGGCGAGATTAGTGACTATGAGGACGAGGACTTATTCTCTGCTGTATTTGAATTAGAACTAAAGACATCGTCTAGTGAGGTAGAAATAATGGAAGAGGAAGAAGAAGGCGGTGGAGGTCCACTTGAAGAACTGGAAGGTGTGGAATCGTCATCAACAGATGATGAGGAAGGTGCAAAAAAAGGCGGGAAACATGGTAAAAGCGGCAAAGATGGTAAAGGCGGCAAAGGCGGTAAAGGCGGTAAAGGTGGCAAAGGCGGTAAGGGCGGAAAGGGTGGCAAGAGCGGCAGGGGTGGTAAAGGCAAAAAAGGTAAAGGTGCCCAAGATGTTGACGGTGATGTAGACGATGAGCAGGAGCAAAGAGATGGCGGTACTAAGGGAAAGAGAGGACAAAAAAGCAGCGCACGAGCCAAACGTATTTCCGCCGATGAATCAAAAGCAGCTCAAGGAGAACTAGATAAGAAAAAGGAAGAATTAGATAAACAAAAACAAACGGAACAAGATAAAATAAAGTTATCAGAAATGGAGAGACAAAAGCAAGCAGAATCCGATAAATTAAAGGCAGCGGAACTTGATAGTATGAAACAACAAACGTTTGGAGATAAACTAAAGCAAGCTGAACAGGATTATCTAAAACAGCAAGAACTAGATAAACTCAAAAAATTGGAACAAGATAAAATCAAGAAGTTGGAACAAGATAAACTCGAACAGTTGGAACAAGATAAATTGAAACAAGCAGAACTGGATAAGATAAAACAAGCAGAGCTGGATAAATTAAAACAAGCAGAGCTGGATAAATTAAAACAAGCAGAGCTGGATAAACAAAAAAAAGCACCAGAGCTTGATAAACAAAGGAAAGCAGAGTTAGATAAGCTGAAGCAAGCAGAACTGGATAATAAGCAGAAGTTAGCAGAGCTAGATAAAATGAAGCAAAATGAGCTTGATAGACAAAGGCAAGCAGAATTGGATAAACAAAAACAAGCAGAAATGGATAAACAAAA